GGTGGTTCTATAAAGGGATCTTTACACAAATAGCCGGTCATATTCATTGTTTACTTTTTTCTAGCCATATATATAGATTATACACTACATATAATACGCAAATTATGCATATATTATACCTTCACAGGTTAGTTTTAGTTTAAACGATTGGATGAGCGGCTATTTGGGTCCCTAATTTCCTAGAAACTCGGCTACCCACTTTATTGGGCTGCCAAGAAAAAGTTAGGTGTTGGGCCGAATTAAGAGTAGGTCACTAGCTTAGATGGGCTGCGAAAGGAAATTTAGGATTGGGCCTTTGGGTGAAATATGGGATACTACTTCACTGTACTTTGGTTAAAATTGGGCTAAACAAATGTATGCTAGGATCCAAAATAAAATCACGGCCTGGGCTTTTTGAGTGAAATGTGCAATAAACCTTTACACGTTTAGGTGAGTCTTTTTGCATTAGATTAGAGCTGTCAATATAGGCAGGGCCGTGTTAGTCCAGCTCAACCTACGTGGGCTTTAGCAATTGAAGGGTTGGGTTGGGCTAGCCCACCATTTTGATGGGCCTTATAATGGTCAGGCCACCCCAGTCCTATGTTGGCCTCGGGCCTCCACGGACCGGCCCATCATTTTTTAAAATATAATTTTACTTTTTTTAAGTTCTAATGACTTATGGAAAAATTTCGCAAAAATTAATAACTTTTTATATTGTTATATTACAATAAACACTAAAAAAGTAAAAGACAAGATTATATTTCATTCACTAAAAGTCAAAACAAACTATTCAAGAGAACGTCTATGATGCTTATAGGATATCTAACACATCATCTTTATAAAACACATTTGAATCTACTTGTGACAAGGTTGTCTTAACATCTTCACTTTTATCTACATCTACAATTCTTATGCAACATTAATTAGTTAAATATTAAGAATAATAAAATTTTAAAAACTAATAATATTCAAATTTATATTAAAAAAATTACCAGTTGAGTTTGGGAAAAGACGTGCAGCCAATTTCGAGTAGTAACAAGTGTTTGGACATTTTCATGATGGATACAACTTCTGTACTTTGTCAAAACACGCCCACCAATACTATTTGTTGATTCCGATGCTATAGTGGTAATAGGAATACTAAGTACATCACGCGCCATCACTAAAAGATCGGGATATTTTCTAGAATGTTCCTTCCAATACATCTCTTGAAACTTCTCAAGATCAAGCTTTGGTTCCTCTAAGTAAAATTCAATTTCTGACTTTCCATCGATAGAGGCAGTATACATTTTATTATACAAATATTTTTATTAGGCCCACGGGCCCGCCCGACCCAGCCTAGTCAAGCCTCATGGACCACGGGCTTACTCGGGCCAGGCTTAAAAGTCTCATTTTTAAATGGGCTCCAAAAATTCTAGCCCAACCTTACTAAACACGGGTTTAGCGGGCCCAATAAGCCAAGCTCATATTGACGGCTCTACCTTAGATGCACCAATTTCTAATTGTCAATCTAGCATCTTATTTAGTACTACAATTTTCTCCTTAAATTATTCGTTTCTTTGCAAACTATAAAACATATCTTTTTGTGAAGGGAAAAATATGAATTATATGCTCAATTTGTTTCTATTTATGCAACATTCTCTCCGTTTTTGTACGTCCCAAAATCTTTTTTATTTCTCCATTTACATCATGCTTTTACAACGTCTATGAATTCAAATACATTTAATTACTCAAATAATACTTACATGTAATAATTTCTCTATGAAACTACCATATTCACTATTATTTTATTATTTTCTTCCATTATCATTAATAAAAATACATAAATCTTAATGAATATTCTAATTTCCTTTCATATTTGACTATAGTCATATAAATTGGTGGAAGGAATAAAGTAAAAGGAAGGGTAGGACATTTGCTAGCACATTTGCTAACTAATAATTTATCTGCGCTTCGCGTAATCGTTAAAGAAAATCAAATTTTGGCTAAATAATAAATATTAGAATAAAAAGTCAATTTTATCTTATCTTTATTCTCCAACCACTTTATTACTGATTATTCTAATTATATATATTCAATTACCAATTAGTTTCTCATCTTTTATTTAAAATAAATGAATGAGATATGTGAAATCAATACAGAAAAGAAAATACAAAACATATAAATCAGCACCTTTTGGCTATTTGGCATTAACAATAACTGGCATTTAAAACGATTTATTTTGTAACAATGTCATTCAAAAGTCGTTAATGCAATAAGCTAGTAATTGTACATGCCCAAATATATTCGTAATCATTCTGTGCATGAATTATCTGGTAGAATTCCTTTATATATTTCGCTTCTCCATTATACTTGTTCATTTCTTAAATATTCAATCCGTATTTGTATAATATTTGAATGCATCACATCTTTGGAAACTTGAGAGTTTTTAGTATTGCATCTTTAAAAAAGAAATATAATGTTAATAGTTAAAAAATACAGTAATTGTCCACTTGTGGAAAAGTATGGGATTGTTGTTATTGTTGTGTATGTGTGTGTCCATTACACTTTGGAGTAAGTTTATTATAGATCATTAAAGTATCCAAAAATAAGATATTTACCAAATTAATCCAAAGTTTAACAACCGGACTACTGATGATTTAATACCAAGCGGATTAATAGTAATATTCACCATTTCAGGCACAAAATACCATTGTAATCTGGGAATTACTATCATTTAAGTTACTTTAGTTTAGGGGGGACTGGTCATAAATGGAAAGCTTCCTGCTCTATTTTTGCAGTTATGAAACAGAGTGTTGTTTTTAGGGGTGAAAAAAAGATCTATAACCAAGAATCCAAGATACTGAAATCAATGATCAATAATAAATAGGAGGTTAGAATGTAAATCAGAAAATAGTCTATACATTAGAAGTCCAAACTTAATGTAACTCTTAGGCATTCAAAAGGTATGACCTAACCGTCAATGAAATTGAATGAAAATGACGAAAGATCATAGTTCATATCTCTTCAACAACAACAACAAATTCAAAGAATTCCTACAAATGGAATCTGGGGAGGGTAATGTGTATGTAAATCTTACTTCTAGGTTTCTGATAGACCATCGAGTAAAGAAACAGTTCATATCTCAACAAAGGTAAAAAATAAACTATTTAAGCCTTGATGGTAGAAGATATCCAAACTTAGTAGTTAGTATGTAGTTGGGCTTAGCAAATGTTAAACATGGTTGGTGCTGGAGCCTAATCAACGCCATGGCCCACTTCAACGCGGTCTTAGTAGACTATAGTTAGTAAACTACCTTTTCCATGTGCTAATTAGCTTCTCTAATATTGTCACCGTCCTATTTTATTAAATGGTTTTTTTTTCTTGTTCTTTTTTCCTGTTGTCTGACAACAACGGAAAAAATTGTTTCTTCTGATTCGTTTAAAATAGTGAATATTTACATGTGGACATGTGGCAAGTATTCATATGCCTTTTAACATTTTATTTTCAATAAATTTGTCGATTTGAAGTTAATTGTTAAGATATAAGTACCTTTCCTGCTGTTATTTATCTAAATTTGGTCGCCAGAAGTATATTTTTTATCCATATTCAAACAGTCATAATATAGGGCCTTTACATTAGAAGAAAGGAATATAAAGAATAAAAATGAAACAAAAATGTTACCCAAGATCATCTTGCTTCCTTATTATTATAGAAATTGGCACTGGTACTTTTTTTTTTGTTAAAATAAATACCAAAGGATATACTTGGACCTAGACAATAATATACTCCCTCCGTTTCAATTTATGTGAACCTGTTTGACTGGGCACAGAGTTTAAGAAAAAATGAACACTTTTGGAATTTATGGTCCTAAACAAGTCAAAAAGGGGCCCAGAGTATTTGTGTGATTATAAAAGCTCTCATTAAGGGTAGAATTGTAAGTTTAAGCTAAGTTGTTTCCTAATTTAGAAATAGTCATTCTTTTTGGAACAGATCAAAAAGGCAATAGGTTCATATAAATTGGAACGGAGGGATTAGAAAAAATAAACTATTTAGTAACAAAGTTATTGGCATAACCATTAACCACACGCCAGCAATTTTTATCAGCATCGCATCATGATTAAACATGACGTGCAATCTAGACAAAATTATCGCTTCAAATATGGCTAAGAACTTAGCTTGAAGAATATTATTCCACAAATACCGAGTATACTAGTGTAATTTAAGAATTCAACCAAAGAAAACAAGACAAGTAGACAACAATCAATTTGATTTACTTTTTCGTAGCTATCATTCAAGAAGCAAACACTAATCTTATTATTTTAGTGATTTATTAAGTTAATTAGTTGCCCCTGACCTCCAAATGATGAAGACCCTTTTATTTTTAAGCTCTCTGGACATCGTTAATGTATTTATTAATAGACTACCTAACTTTATCAATACTTAATCTATGATTAATTATTGCCATTATCTCTACAACCTTTTTGTTTTACTTCCTTGTCGCATTAGCTTGTTTTTTGCACAAAATTTAAGAGAAACGAAATTTTGACTTGATAGCGTTTGTATGTAAGAACGAAAGGAAACTTTTTAGTCTTGTCAAATAAAATGGAAAAAAAGATTGTAATAAAAAAGAGTACATGTTGGTCTCTCTTGCGATCTTTTGTATGTATTACTTATAAATTAGAAAATTTTCAGTTTAAAAAACTGAACGCAATGACACATGTAATTTAAAAAAAAATGTCAACAATGATTTTGAACGCAATGAGTAGCATCGTTTAGCATATTCCTAAAGACCTAAACGTGTGAAACATTACCTATCTAAAGTATATACATATTATTGGTACAAGGAAGATGCTTGTTGAGCCTATGATTAAATTCAAAATCAAGAAATGTGTTTATTAAAAAATGGCCTATGTGAAATAATTAAGCTTTAGCTCAACCCTTTTGACCATTTGACAAGAATTTGCAATGTGCAATTTGTTTTATACATATATAAATTCCAATTTTGTAAAATAAAGCAGAGAAGCCAAGATTTTGACAGGTATACTCTTGATATTGTCAACAACTAGGAAGATAAGTTTGTCAAGGCTAGAAAAATTATTTAGTATATTATAGTATATATATAACCACCACATTAACGTTTCCTTGCACGATTTATCCATTCAACTCTTAGCTTATAAATCATAGCTAGTTCTTCCTTCACATTATTCAACTTTCTCATTTGCAGAATATATTTGTTGCTTGTCTCATTTTATCCCTTGCACTTCCTTCAAGTCATTCCTTGAGAGATTCAACTATGGGGAACAGAAGTTCAAATCTTGATAATGACAACAATATTTCACGTCCAATTGATACTCCATTTAAGCTTCCTTCTCCATTGCCCACTTGGCCTTCAGGTACTTTCTGTCTATCAATGTGTAATCTTTTATCTTATCATTTTTGCTTTATTAGTATTTGATCACTTCCAGTGTTGTTAAAGGCTCGCTCAAAGCGCGCTTAATTCTAAAGCTAGGTGAAATCCAAGTTGTGCGCTTTGCCTCGCCTAGCTGATGCGTGCTAAGGGGTGCCTATTTTCGCTGATGGGCTGTCTTTAAGATAACAACACTAGACAATAAATATATTTGGCAAATAGATAAAAAAGGATAGCCCGATGCACAAAGAATCTCATTCACATATGGTCTGGGGAAGGACCGCACCTTAAGGGTGTGATACAGACAATATGCCCTAATGCAAGCATTAGAGGGTCCGAGTTATGGAACCAGCCACCATTAATACTTGCATTAGAAAAAGTCGTTGCTGAAATTTTAGTGATTATTGTTTGTATTATAGTTATATTTTCTTGCATTACATGTCTAATTTTTTTGTAAATATTTTGTTCATTGGCGCTTTTTTTTTTTTTACTAAAGCCCACGCTTTAGTTTCGGTTTACGCTTAAAGATCCAATAGACTTCGGCCCTTTTTTGTGTTTTTTTCTTTTGGCTACTCTGATCAATTGTTCTGTTTATGTTGATTGTTTAAATATTAGGTCAAGGCTTTGCTACTGGAGTCATTGATCTTGGAGGTTTAGAAGTGTCTCAATTATCATCATTGGCTAAAGTTTGGGCTACTCAAGAAGGTGGACCAGATGATCTTGGAGCTACATTCTTTGAACCATCAAATTTACCAAATGGATTCTTTATGCTTGGCTCCTATAGCCAACCTAACAATCTGCCCCTCTTCGGATCAGTTCTTGTTGGAAAAGATTCAACAGGAGACGCGCTAAAGATTCCAATTGACTATACACTTGTATGGAGTAGCGAGAACCTGGAAATCAAGCAGGATGGTGTTGGCTATATTTGGCTGCCAATTCCTCCTGAAGGCTATAAAGCTGTAGGCCACGTTGTAACAACGTCGCCTCAAAAGCCTTCTCTTGACAAAATTCGTTGTGTTCGTTCTGATTTAACTGATGTGTCTGAGAGTGATGATTGGATTTGGGGCAATAATGGATTGAATGTGTACTCATCAAGACCAAGAGACAGAGGAATCAATGCTTTAGGAGTGTCTACTGGTGCTTTTGTGGCTTCAAATAATGGAACTGCAGATTCATTAGCTTGTTTGAAAAATGTCAAAGCTAATTTATCTGCTATGCCAAATTTGGACCAAGTTCAAGCACTGTTTCAAGCCTACTCTCCTTTGTATTATTTCCATCCTGATGAACAATATTATCCATCATCTGTCACTTGGTTTTTTCAGAATGGAGCATTATTGTACACTAAAGGGCAAGAATCTGCACCAGTTGCTATTGAGCCAAATGGTTCAAATCTTCCTCAAGGTGGTTCAAATGATGGTGCTTTTTGGTTGGATTTGCCAACTGATGATTCAGCAAAAGATCAAGTCAAGAAAGGAGATTTGCGAGCTACTACAGCCTATTTACACGTTAAACCAATGTTTGGCGCGACGTATACTGATATTGCTCTATGGCTATTTTACCCCTTTAATGGCCCTGCTAGAGCAAAAATTGAATTCATGACCATTCCATTAGGGAAAATTGGACAACACGTTGGCGATTGGGAGCACGTTACGTTAAGGATTAGTAACTTCAATGGTGAGTTACAAGGTGTGTACTTCTCTCAACATAGTGGAGGGAATTGGGTAATTGCTTCTCAGCTTGAATTCCAAAATGGTAACAAACCCGTGGCCTATTCATCGTTGCACGGTCACGCTTCTTATGCCCAACCAGGGAAAAATATGCAGGGGAATAGCAACATAGGCTTAAGAAATGACACGGCAAAAGGGCAGATGATGGACACTGGAGCAAACTATTCAATAGTTGCTGCTGAATACTTAACAATTGTTGAACCAGCATGGTTGAACTATGCTAGAGAATGGGGTCCAAAAATCAGCTATGATATTGCAAATGAACTCGAAAAAGTGGAGAGATTTTTGCCAGGGAAACTGAAGAAGGCTGTTGAGAAACTTGTGAAAAGTCTACCAAATGAGGTGTTGGGTGAGGAAGGACCAACTGGACCCAAGTTTAAGGACATGTGGAATGGTGATGAAAGGGGTTAAAGTTAAACATGGTAAATTATCGATTATGATAAATTAAAAAAAAAAAGGGGGGGGGGG